ATTTGTCCTTCAATGTCTTTAAAATCTTCTTGATGCAATTAAAGAATGGCAATATTGGAAAAAATTAAATATCATATCTTTATCCTAAATTTAAAATTAAATAAGACTTTAAAACTTTTCTTATTAATTAGAACTAGAAGGCGTACAGAAGGAAATATTTATCACATTCTGTTCAAAAATTCTTTTTTTAAAAAAAAAATGCTCAATCGCTTAGGATGAAACTGAATTAAAAAAGCAAATCTGACATGTTCATCTGGCATTGGTTAGTTAATCATGAGCAAGAGAAACAGAGGAAAAATAACAATTAAGCACCCAAAAATAATTAATAACTGTTAGCATATGTCCAAATTTTTTTTAAAAAATAACTTATAAATATAAATTTAGATAATTACAAATTTAAAAGTTTTAAACACTAAAATTTTTAAAAAAATCTTATAGATATAGTTACTAAGATTCCTGTTGACAACTAATTCTAAATGTAATTTTACGGACTTGTCTGTAATTTTCCCTAATATATAAATATGGTGCCACTTGTCTACAAGTTAAGAAGAATATTTCAGTACAAATCTAAAGGGTCTTCGTCCCCATAAATGTTTTTTTTTTGGCCAACTATATAGTAAATGTTTTCGATTATTATAACACTCCCTCTTGTATTATATATAAGTCACCTTAAATTGATGGTCATTTTTATAAGTTATTTTATATAGCAGGTAGATTATTAATTACTTATTTTAATTTATCCTTTTACAATTTTTTATAAGTAGAGTAAAATGTTATATATATTTCATTTGTCCTAGTTTATAAAACACTTTTTAACAACATTATACATAATAATAAAGTTCTTTAAATACAACTTACAATATTATTTTTTTAAACTACAGATATAAATTTTTAAAATACCTTTCATTTAATGTAAACTTATTTGTGAAACATTAAATAGAGAAAGAAAAAAATATAATAAGAAAGGAAGGATAATATTAAAACAAGTATAATTAATGAAATTTTATTTTTGTCAAAGCGCTTTATATTTCAGGACAACAAATCACTTTGAAAAGTGTCTTATAATTTGAAATAGATTGAGCATGATAAAAAAAGTATTTTTAAAAATAATATATTTAATAAGGATAGACTATAAAATTTATTTTGTTCTTTTTGACAATATCAATAGTTTTAACTATTTCTCTTTGATTTTGATATGATAGTTAAAAATGACCTGCTCCCTCTTGTCCTTATTATAAGATGAAATTTGAAAGCTTGTTTTTTTGTTCTTAAATATAATACAAAGTCAGAGTAATTAATGTTTTTTCAATATAATTTCACTCCTTGTTTGATTTTTGTTATTTAAATTCTCAAACAACAATTTATTATGGTCGTTAATTACAAAGATTGGTAAAAATAAAAATTACGTTTTTTTTACAATTTTAAGATTATAAATTATATTTTTAATAAACATAAAATTTTAATTTCATTTTATATTAAAGGAAGGAAGGAGAATGAGAAGCAAAGAAATGACAACGTATGGTTTTTTGCGTTGACATTTGATGCTCATCATTCATCAACCATTTGATTGATTTAGGCCCTCCATTTTATTTCAAAATGATATCTACTTTTCATTTTAAATAGATTTTAGGCGTTTTTAATATTATATTTTAAAAAATATAAAAAAATTAATAGTAAATTTAGATTGTCTTTTGTACTCACTAGGGGATGGGTACCAAGCTACATATTACATATGGTGAGGTTTGGACCATTCAGATTTAAAAACATTTTTTTTTATTTTTATCAAATCTAAATTTTTTTTAATAAATATCTGTTTATTATCAATTTGACCATTGCAGATTTAGTGTAGACTAACTAATTTAATATTATTTTTTTTTAATTTTATAAATTGACTATGGAATATTTGTTGGACTGTACTTATATAGTCTATTGAGACATACTTTATACAATATAGATTTAATATTAACAATTTTAATAATTTATATAAATTTTTATTTTAAAAAATAAAATATTAAAATATGAAAAATTTATTTAAAATGATCAGAAAAGATTGCTTTGAGATAAAATAAAGGACCCAAATCAGTAAAATGGCTGATGAGCATGTGGTGCTCAAAGGGAACGCATGATTTTTACGCTGGGTTAACCTACGAAACCAATGAAATCTGGACACGTGAGGTACATATTCACGGGCCTCTCAATTTCCTAATTTGTTTTTAATCACATGGAAATTTACATTTATGCCAGTAAATTTTGATTGAGCGAAAGAGTTAATATTCTTCCGAACTTATTTGTAAGTCATCAATAACATTTAAAATTATATATTATTTTCATGTTTATTCTTGATTAATATGTGTCTCAATTAAATTCTTTTTATTAATTAATCCTCTTGATTAAGGATACTTTTGGGAAAAAACTTTCTTAGTTACATCTTAAAGGACCCAACAAAATGCTTCATATTTTTTAACATAATGTTTTAAAAAGTTGTTTATAATAGTGATTAAAAGGAGTAAAGGACAAGCTAGGCCTTAAAAAATAGACTAAGTAATCTGCTGATAGGCCTTCCAGCTTACTTCCATCCTTACAACAAAAACAACAAATTTGAATCCTACTAGATGGATTTGAGATTAGAGGATTATCGCAACCCTATCTATTTCCCCTAGTGACAAGTCATTGCATTTCAATGCTTTTAAAAGTTTTCCTTTCTAATTTTTTTCACTAGTTTCCTCCAATTTTTTCTATCCAAGCTAAGCCTAACTTCTCATTTATGCACATTTAAATATAGGATTAAGATTTTGGAAGAAAAAACTATTTCCAAAACGAATCCAATAAGTATACATAGTTTTAAATCTTGTATCTATACTTATATGTATATATAATAAAATACTTGTAAAAGATCACATTACTTAATTATAACTCAAGAAAATGGAGAGAAGATAAAAGAAAAAAAGAAAATATTATCAATCTTTGTGTTTGAATGAGCAAGAGATAACAAAAAGAAAAGAAAATAAGCAAATATCATAGTAGATATAATAACCTTGTATCAAAATAGATATAATGTTCAATGTAATTAATAGTTATCTTTATAAATGTAATTTGAAGGAAAAATTTATATTAAAATTAAATTTATCAAAATAATTTAAAATCAAATTATTGAATGTTTTTTCATGTTATTTATATACTACCTCCGTTTAAAAGTATACAACATTTTTGGAGGAGTTGAATGTTTAAAAATATAAGGTATTTTTAGTCTTTCGAGGTATAATTATTGTCTTGTTTTTCAAAAATACCCCTATTGATGAATAATTTTATATTTATTGAAGGGTATTTAATAAGGATAAATATAAAAAGATAGGGTTAGTTTAAAAGTAGGTAACTACTTTATTACGAAATAAAATTTAATTAAAAATATTTTATATTTTTAGTCGAAGGAAGTATATAAGAGATGAGTGGAAAATGAGTCGAATGAGGAACAAGAGGACAAAAATAAGGAGGGTGAGTAATCAAGGAGTGAGAGAGCTAACTGAGATGTGAGAGAAGAGTGAGATAGTGTAAAATGGCCCCACTGAGATTGTTGTTACTGATGTCTCATTGACGACCCTCACATGGGAGAATTCCAATAAGTAGACCACAGCCATTGAACTCTCACGAACATGTGCTTCCTTGTTTGCCTTATTACCTGACACTTCCAAGTGCATTATCCCTGTTTTCTTGGATTAATCAAACTTCATCTTGGCTCATATATCAATCCTCAATTATTTCTGCCCTCTTCTCTCTTTTGGATAGAAATTATTCTGAATGCATAAGCCATCCCTCTGAAAACATTCTTGCTTTTTCATTGCCCATGCGACAATTGGCATGTGCATGTGCCTTTTACATTCGGATGACGTTATACTGCCTTTGGTCTTGTGTATAGAATCAAGAGAGAAGATTTTTTCCATCTTATTTATAAATTATTATTCTCTTCATTTAAAAATATAAAATATTTTTAATATTTCATGGTGTAATAATTATTTTTTTTAAAAGTGCCCCTATTGATAATGATCTTATATTTATTATAGGGTGTTTAATAGGGGTGAATATGAAAAGATAGGGTTAATTTAAAAGTAGGTAATTATTTTATTGAAGAGTGAGATTCAATTAAAAATATCTTACATTTTTTAATAGAGGGAGTATTTTAGAACTAAATAATTCATGAGAAGGGCCCCAAAAAATAATTAAATACTAATAAATAAGATAACCTGATAATTTGGATTTCTGGCAAATTTTCCCCCCCTGTAAATTTAGGATAAGATTTTCTGTTAATTTATTTTGTTAATCCAAACAATTTTTCATACATTTATTAATGAATTCATTTTTTTATATATTGATACACTTTTATACTCTATTGGGGGGTTATAATTACATATCAAACTGTTCTAATATTTCTCCCTCCAATCTAAACTATAAGTAGCTTTAATAATATTTTACAAACTAATAAAATTCTTATTCTTATAAAAATATATGCTCCTCTGTCTTTATGTATAAAGTGTTTTTAACTGAATCTCTCATATCAATAAAAGTTTATTATTTATTTGAAGTCACATTAAATCAAAATAATTTTCCAATTTTGCTCCTAATAATGTCAATTAATATCACAGTGATGGTCATAGTGGTAAAGAACTCAATTAATAATTCTTCCCCTTTTTAAGAAAAGGGCCAAATTATCTAATTACTCAAAAATATCATGACACCCCTTATATTTAGGAATAAAATAAGCTTCTAGAGAATACCCTATATATAGGGACGGAGGGAGTATTGTTTTCATTTTTTTATCCTTAATTCCAATTTATGATGAGATGAAGGTCATAAATTCACTAATACAAGAATCTCGATTAATAAATATAAGGGGTAAAATGAAAAAATAAAATTTTATAAACACTAAATTGTTTATATTTTAGATCAAAATTGACTGAAAAAATGCTTATAATTTGGACTAGAGGATCACGCACACACCAGCACAACACACGATATAGGCTTTGTATTATTGTATTCAAATTTAGAACATAGTACGACATCCTTAAACCACATTACCACGCAACTGAAATCAATAAGGTACCTACCACACAGCTGGACCCAAAAGGATCGCACTTATTCTCTCAAGCCATTACGCAATCATTAAACCACACAACAATCAACTTAACACAATTACATTATTAAAGCCTTAACGAAATCACAGACTGACTTTAATTATTGACTCTAATATTACCAACTTTAATGCCATATATAATGACATTACAGAACGACTTTCCTTATTGACGAGTGCGTTATATTTGCCAGACGTTCTCTCTTCTCAGTGACAAGTATCTCAGCCATCCTGCATCGATAGCAAAACAAAACAGACTCAATAACCAGACATTAAGAACTATATATTGAAGATGCCAAAGCAAGATTCTTGTTTGATCTAGCTAGGGTTTTAAGTTGTGCAAGTAAACTCAGAAGAAATAAGCTATTTGTGAGGACTATGTATATGTATTTACTTTTCAATGGCCTCTGCATTTGTTGGACCACCGGGTATAGGTTCAAGCTTGAAGGTGTCCAAGTTCATCCTTGTCTCAGTTTGGTTTAACAGATTCTTTGCTAAAGCTTCAAGATCACCCAAGTTCTTCTCAGTGGCGCAATCCAAATCAGCCATATTTTCACTTAATACATCCGTCTACGGAATATGAATGAAAGAAATGGTTAATTCAAATGTGTGCATAATAACAGGCTTTCAAGTTTCCTTTGATGAAACCTGGTTCTAACACAAAAGAACACTACATCATAATTCCAAAACTCAAGGCCCAAGTTCATGGGTCCTTAAATTTTATTACATATTAATTATGAAGCCCAGCTTTATCCAATATGAAACTTTTCATATCGACTTAGGTTCACTTACATATTTTCCTAACAATAACATGCATATATAGCCATGTGTTGAAGTGCATGTGTGGACGATAAAATATGAGATGATGGATGGATGTACCTGAATTCGAAGGTAGTTGCTGTCAGCTCCAAGGGCATGAAAAACAGAGGCGAGATGATAGTCAACAAGATCCTGACTTCCATCAAGTGCAAATTCAATACTTGGCTTAGCCCATTTCAAAATACCCCACTTTTGTGCATCTTTGGCGTTGTAAACATTGGGCTTCATGAATCCAGTTCCAAAAGACACCAACACAATTCTTGTATAGTCATTTGGTTCAAAGGTCGAGAAATCTGGATTGTTCTTTGTTATTTGTTGTGTCACCTCACTTATAGCAATTAATGCCTGCAGTGTTTTCAAGTCCATTCAGATATAATAAATTATAAATGTCATAGTTTTACGTATAATAAATTAACATATATATGCAGGGAGTGATTAATTAGCTTACAGGATTATTGGCTATGATACCACCATCAATCAAATTGAATTCTGTTTCACCATTTTTGAAAGGATAAGGTGGTAGATAGGTTGGTGCAGCTGAAGTTCCAATGCAAATATCTGATAGCTGGGCGTCTAAGCCAGGGAGGACGTCGAACTCTGTGTTTAGCTGCACCATGCATGCATCCATTATTTTTATCAACTTTTGATGATCATTAACTACAGCAAATTGTTGCAACCCTTCAAATTTGTTTGATAACTAGGATGGCTTTCAATTTACAGTTTTGAACTAATAAATTTATTTTGTTAGAAAATACAATCATAATTTTTTATTTAAAAAAGCTCCATATCTTTTAAAATAAAATACCTGTACTATTTAATTTTAACATGGGTGCATGGTCCAAATTCACGATAATCCCGCGGCTTATTTTTATAAAACATTTTTAAATAATTGACATAAAATTTCTTTTATTAGTTGACATGCCAAAATATTTTCCCCCGAATTTACATTTTCATAATTAATTCACATAATTTCAGAGTTTTTTTAGGGGCCTTTTAGGTGAAATCTATCAATTGTTCTTAAAATGTTACAAAATGCTTTATAACAATAAACAGGGAGAATATCAAAAATTGAGAATGAATTAACCAATAAGCATGGGTCCTAATAAAATAAACTATAGTCACTTGAACATGAGGTCTTAAGTTCAAGTTCAGGTTTATGTAAATGCTAAAAACACATCTCTCGGAGAGCTATCTTCAATTAAACTTGATAATGCTTAAATTTAATTCTGTTGGATAGCCATATTTAAAAGAAAAAAACATAATGGAGAATGAAGACGATCATTATATATATGTGTGTGCACCTTCAAGCTTGAGAAAATAGTGGGTCGGACTTGTTTCATATCGAATGTTGGGATTACAACCCTAGTCAATGTGTCATGCAGTCTTTTTCCTTCCAGATAGAACTGTATTGCACCATGTAAATACTCTCCATCGTACTTGGGCTTGTAGAGATAGTTCCAGATAGATTTGAACCAACTTGAATAAAACAATATTGAAGAGGATTACGTGAGTACCATATAAAACATCCAAAATTGAACAATTAAAAACCTTAAACAGTACTTGGGTTTCTCATCACCGAACTACTTTCAAGGAAAATTAGTTATACGAATTTGAAATTTACGTACTTTTTTGGGGGGAAAATTTCTGGGGATTGTTTTCTGTAGAAATCTTTAATTTGTGGAGCGGAAAACATAGGACGATGGTCCCCGTCTGGGGCTGTGAGCATGGCAGTGATGATTCCACCTGTGCTAGTTCCAGCGATCAAGTCAAAATAGTCTGCGATCCTCGCATTTTCATGCCCAGAAACTTTCTGAATCAAATAAAGAATGGATAAAATCATATCTTAACTCAACAGACGAGTGACCCAGACTTACATACTATGATAACGATGTACGTACCTGCAACTCTTCCTCTAGTTTCATGAGTAGAATGGCAGGTATGATCCCTCTAACCCCACCTCCGTCAATACTGAGAATAGTGACAACCTTCCCAGCTGATGGAGGCGGTAGCTTTGCTGTTACTTCCATTACTTATCCAGCAATGAAGGTCTCAGAAAAATGATCAGAGAGAGAGAGAGAGAGAGAGAGAGAGAGAGAGAGAGAGTTAGGGATTGCTTGTGTGCTCTTCCTTCGTTGGTCTGAATGGTATTTATAGACCCCTCATCGGCGGGCTACAAATTTTTATATTACTTTTCTCTTGAAAAAAAAAAAAATCTTATGCGTTTGTGTCCTACGCCTGGCTCATTTATTAATGACTTAATTATATTGTAGATCAAGAGATCTCGTCTAGGTCTTCTCTCTTTATAAATAATGAGAGTCAAGCCGGCCATTATAAATTATTCCAAGTGCTGTCGATTTAAATTTGGTCGTTATAAATTATTCCAATATTAGAAACGTACGTCAGTAGATATAGGGCTGGCAGACTGGCAGTTTTTTGTTTGAATTATTTTTTCAGTTGTAGAAAGTAGTATTTTCCCCCAAGGTTAGTACGAGAATTTATTTTCAAAAATTTGTCCATTGACATTTCTCTTGTGAATAGCTTGGGTACTATTTGTGATAGAAAGTTTCATAACAAATCTGTGAAATAAGTCGTGAGAAAGATACATTGCATGTGGTGCGAACTAATTTTGCGGAATGGTAACTTGCCAGCGGGGAGGAAAGAAACGAGCAAGTAATATAAATCTCGCAGAGGCTTTGTCTCAGGGATTGTGTATTTGTAAGGGGCAAATAGGAATATCAGTACTGTTTAAATAGGCATGCAAAGATAGTTTTAGAACAAACAAATGAAGTCCAAATCATCTTAGGCAAGTAACATCATAATCTCAAGTGTATCTCCCATGAATTGAAAGAAAAGCTCATTATAGTCATTGTTAACCTCTAGAATTTCATGTCATTTTTATCACATTTTTCTTGAATTTTTATATATTTTGAACCAATTGCACATAATTTCAATACTCAAGTTAGAAAATTGTGCAAATTGTTTTGGAAATTCACCACCATGGATCTATTTTGATATTTTCACGCTAATTTATTGACATTTTGGTTCAAGGCTATGTTGGGGACATTTTTGGACATTAAGTGATGCTCTGGAAGGTATTAAGATAAAGAAATCTGGTGCAAAGGTGAACAATTTTTGGCTGATAAAGTTAGGGTTTTAGAGTATAGAAAGATCATTTTCAACTAAGGCTGTCATTTTGGACTTTTTAGGAGTACTTGGAAGCATTAGGTGTGCTAGTGCATGGATTTTGGTGGAGGTTCAGCTTGGATTTGAAGATTAGAAGAGATTTGGCTTTATATCTTGGTTCTTATGTGTTAACTTCAAGATCCAATCTATGCCATGTGTAGATAACTTCAATATCAACTTTTTCTAGAAATTATCAAATGACATAATTAGAAGAGAAGAGAGAGGGGGAGAGAGAGAACTAGGGTTTGTTGAGTTGGAGTTTTGGAGCACAGATTGAGGCCTCTCAACTCTCTAGTAAATGATTCTAAGCTCTAATCCACTTCCTTTTCTATGTTTTAGGTGATTTGAGGTTGATAATTGATGTAAGGGTTAGGGTTCTGAATTCTCGAGGTTTCTACCAATTAATCTTGGTTTACTGGTTATGATTAAGCTACCTAGGGACTCCTAAAGTGGTTTAATTGGTTTATCTTGTTGATTTGAGGTTCTCAGACATATTAGAGCGCAAGTCCTAGCTAGGTTCTAATTGTTGATGATTGTTGATTTGGATGGTGATTACGGTTGATAGAGGATTGTTTGGATTGATTAGTGTTGAGAAAGGTTTGAATGGTATAGATATTGTTAGATTGGATTTTAGTTTTTGGGAAATTTGAGGCGATGAATGAGGAGCCCAAAGGGATTAATTTGAGGTTAATCATTGATATTGGGGAAAGCTATAATTTAAATTGGTAGAACGACTTTGCCGATTTATTTGGTATTTATGAGAAATTCATATGATTTTGTAGATTAGTTCGGTAATTTGCGCCCTTCAGCTAAGGCGTTTGTAAGGGTAACTCTTTTTGTTCTTTTCTTGATTAGAGGAAACCACATTTAATTTACCTCGCATGTTTGATTTTGTTTCAGGGTGGAATATATAAGATGCAATGTATATTCAAAATAATATGATTTTATGAGAAATTTTTGGTTAAGCGGGATGTTGTATTGATAATTAAATATGTGCATAAATTTTTGAAAATGAGAATATATCATTTGATTTGGAAGCAAAATTGTTGAGCGTTTATGATGATTGTAATTACTACCATGAATTGTATATGCTGAATTTATATATGAGTTTTGTTTATTTGGGATGGAGGCTGTTGTTGGAAGTCTTGAAGTGATGATTATTGATCCATTTGACCACAGGTTTGCCACCATTAGGCGCCTAGTGGTTGGCTCACATTCTTAGGCCCCTTGGTGTTTTTCCTTCCTTTTGCTGGGATTGGAGTCATTCCTTGGAACATATGACACCTTTATGGGTCATAGAAAAGAGGGGATCCATGGATTAGTGTTGAGTTTTGCACCTTTGGCTAGGTTGCATCTCACCATTAATGAGCTTGGTGGAGTCCAATCATATGAAAAGATGATCGTATTTGGCTCAGACAACTATGGGTTCAAAAATAATAAGGGTGGTATAAGGATGGCATTTGCATATATGCAATGACATTATATAGTTATACGATTTACATTACATGATTTATTATTTAATTAATATTTATTTATTTACTATTCTTTTATTTTTCCCCACTAGCCGAAGTATCTCTAAAACATGTCTGCATGCATTTTATAATAATTTCATGCGAAGGATTGGGATCTGCGAGGGGGAAGCAAGCAGAGACTTGAGGCAACTGTTGTATGCCACGATTTGAATTATTGCTTGGATGACTGTTAAATGTATTGTTTTGGATCATGACCAATATATATATATATATGTATATATGTATGGACAGTACAATATTGTTTTGGATTGAGAGCTAGTAGCTAGACGGGCCTGAGGTCCTAGTATTTGTGATTCATGATATATATTTTGTTTTGGATTTGTGATTTATGACGACGACGACGAGGGTGTTGTTATAGAGGTTGATTATAATTGTGGGGTATCCTTGTTTTGCCAATGTGCCTTTTCCAACATCATCAATATTTCCAACATCAATATTTTATTATCACAGTGGATATTGTTTAAAAATGTTTTAGCAAGCGAGGTGTTGCATTTTTGGCAGCAACTATGTTAGTTAGGCACGATGGGTTAAACGAAGAGAGGGAGAGGAAGATGAACGGCTGCGATTATAAAGGTTGAAAGTGACTGCACATGGGTTCTTAATTATAGTTTCATGAACCTCATTCGTCTATTTTATACAAGGGAGATTATTTTAATTAACATCAAATTTTACTATATAATAGATTATATAAAACAAAATTTGCATTGCTAAGGATCAGTACAAGTTGCTCGTGGTGCTCAATTTCCATGTGTTCGCACCAATGAAAGCAGGGATCCGCATTCAGCGCGCTCGATCTGTGCCATTCATTTCTTTCTCAAATGATCTTTATTGTTGATTTGAATTTTTTTAATATTATATTTATAAAAGTAAAAATATATAAAAAATTTTAAAAAAATTTAATATTAAGTTTGGACTATTTTTTATTCTTATTAGAGGACGGATGCCGTGGTGGTCACCTAGTCATCACCCTAATGGAATTTGGATAGTTCAGATTTTAAGGTTTTATTTTTGTTTTATATTTATTTAAACAAAACTATGCAAAAAACATAGAAATCTTCAATTAATATGTTTATCACTAATTTGGCCAGTACAGATTCAATCTGGATCACCCATTTTAATACTAATTCTTAATAATTTTTATAAATTAACTTTCCAAATGTACTCTGAATAGTACAGATATAATCTTAAAGGTACAATTTAATATTAAACTTTTTTTTATAATTTTTACAAATTGACCATCTATGTATACTCTAGATAGTCCAACTTTAATATTAATTTTTTTTTATAATTTTTATATATTTTTAATTTGATAAACATAATATTGAAAATATTTTAAAAAAAATTTAAAATAAGCGAAAGAGGTCATTTGGGGAGAAAATGAACAGTCCAGATCACCTTATAGGTGATGAGCCAGCAGTGCTCATCAATCCTGATGAGCATTGAATACGTATCCGACAAGTTGCAAGCTTCGGCAGTCATCACCACAATGAGCATCATCAGCAGGGGTGAGAAGATCTGAGTTGTCTAGAATTTAATTTGAACTGTCCAAATTTAAAGTTTTTATTTTATAATTTTATATTATATTTATTAAATTAAAATTTATTAAAAATATATAATTTTTAATAAAGATGTTTATCGCCAATTGATTTTGGTAGTATATATCTAATTTGGACAATCTAATTTAATATTACAAGTTTTTAAAATTATATAAATCCACTATTCAAATGTAATGTCAGGTAAATTTGTTTTTTCTTATTTTTTATTTTTTGATATGAAGAAGGTAAGAACCAAGATATCAAGTTAAAATCCCTTCAACCTTAGCTCAACTTCCACCAAAATCCAAGCACTAGCAACACGTAATGCTCCCAAGCACTTCCAAGAAGTCCAGAATGATAGCCTTAGTAAAAATTGACCTTATATACTCCAAAACCCTAACTTTATTGGCTAAAAATTGTTCACCTTTGCACCAGATTTCTTTATCTTAATACCTTCTAGAGCATCACTTAATGTTCAAAAATGCCCCCAACATAGGCTTAAATTAAAATATCAATAAATTAGCTTGAAAATACCAAAATAGAGCCTTGGTATAAATTTCTAAAACAATATGTACAATATTCCTGACTTGATCATATTTAAAATACGTACAATTGGGTCAAAATATGCTAAAAACCCAAGAAAAATATTATAAAATGACATGAAATTCTAAAGGTTAACAATGATCAATGAGCAATTCATTTGATTCATGGGAGGTACACCTGAGATTATGATGTTACTTGCCTAAAACGATTAATATTTATGTTCATATTGTGTATTATTGCCAGTTTTGGATCTTATTGCATTTCATGCTTGATTTCTTATTGAAACTATGTTCTGTTAAT